TCGGTGTTTCCCTTTTCTTTAGGTCCCATTTTTCTATTGATTGTGAATTACTGGCAGTTATTTCTCAGACTATAAATTTGCTTGATAAAGGTAACAGTGTTTTAGTGATACCATTTCTGGAAAACTTGAATTGGTGCCATTCAGTGCTTGCCTAGGAGTCAAAAACATAATAAATGAAAATTAATTTTTTATGTAAATTTAAAAAACTAATTACATGGATTAAAAATGGGAAAATATTATTGTATTGTGCTGTATTATATTGTATGATTGTATTATAATGGAGTCCTATATGGCCTGATGCTTAGCTGTACTATTTGACAGCTTGCAAACAGAATGAAAAACTCCTGAAATGCTGAATTATGGATAGAGCAGGTCAGTGGTGCAGAAGAGTTCACTTGTGTTTCTAAGCAGTATGACTTTCAATGTCATGAAATACAGAGTCCAGTGTATAAAAAGAAAGAAGGTGTTATTCTTAAATACAGGATATGCTCTTCTAAGAAGTTTCTTTTCTGAAAGTAACTGATTTTTGTGGTTTAAAATCAACTACTGACTTCCCAGAGCAATTCTAGGTAACAGACTTGTGACAGTGCAGAAAGTAAAGCCAGGATGATATGGAGCAATAGGCAGTATATCATTTCTTCAGTTAGAAATTTTCTCACTGTTACAGGAATAGGGTGCCCAATTGTGAAGCAGGATGTTGAAAGATTTTATGAAAGAGTCAAAGAGAATCAAGAACAAAATTTTGATGATCACTAATGATATGCTAAAAATTTTCACTTAGAAAAGCAGAAATAAAATTGGAGATAATGCAATATTGGTTAATGCTCTAGCTGTTATTTCTCATCATCAGTTGGCCTGTTCACTCTTACATTCCATCATTGGCATAATAATATGAGGAACAGCTGCAAATTTTCACAGTAATAGGTACAATTGAATCTGATGTGTCTAATTAATTTTTGGTCTGACAAATTAGTTTTGTTCTTCATTACTCTCCAATGGGAGGAAGACATTATATTTCATTATGTTTTTGTCTTCAGGAACAATGGAGCGTTACAGGTCGCACACTTCCCTTGTCTATGTTCTAATTAGTTGAACTGACAGCATTGTTACAGAAACACCTGCAGTATATGAAATAGTGCACTGGTATCTTGGATGACATATTTATTACTTCTGCTTAAATATTGTAAAAAGAAATACAAAACTAAGGCTGTTTGTTTCCCTGACCTCCAACAATTATATTAATTTTATCAAACATAAATGGGTAACATCCATCCATATCCATTTATTTTTCCATCATTAAATTCACAAAGCATATGTTATTTTGACATTTAAATGAATTATTTCTTTTGCAGTTGTAATTGCTAGGCACAGAAGGGTAAGAGCAAATAGCCAGACTGCAAACTTCAGAAAATAATTTGGAGACAGATTGCATCTTCCCCTAGAAGAGAGGGAGAGCATACAGTCCACTCAAAGCTCTCCCCAGGCTCTTGCAGTTTGCTCCCACATCCTCCATTCTCAAAAGGCTGATTTCTAACCTTGAAGAAGAAGATGGGATCCTCAGATGTTTTGAGGCTTTAGTGGGAAGCAGTTTTTTCTTGGGACCAGGAGCTCCCAAAGCGTATGTCTCCAAAGCACTTCCCTGCCTGCTCTTCTCCATGTCATCGTGGCTCTCTTTGAAGCAGTGCCAACATTACCTGTTTGCTCACCATCCAGCTGCTCAAACCAGCACACACTGCTTTTACCTTTCCTCCAAAGGGCACAGAAATTAACTACAAGTTAATGGTGATTAGAGCAACACTGACTCCCATGCTGATTTCTACTAGAAAATCAATTGTGTGCCTGGAAGAGCATGCCATAGAGTGCCTCTTTCTATTAGTTTTACTCTCAGCATTTCCTCGTTCAGCACTGGGGTGCATCTGTGGATTGGTTCCATGGGCAGAAAAACAGGGGGAAAAGAAACAATAAAGAAGCCACTACTGCCTGCCTTCTTTTCTTTGTCACAGGGGCTCACTCAGTTTCATTCTTGCTTACTGGACTGGAAACCATTGGCCTTTGGCAGTGGCAAGACAGAAGAGGAGAGTATGGGAAAGGACAGGTGCAGCTCTCAGGCCCTGATGTTTTTAAGCTTACCAGCATGGCCAGTATACACTGGTACATGATACCAGTACTAATGTACTGCCTTTTTATACATTAGCAGACACAGTCTGTCAGCAACCTTCTGTGGGACCTATTTTGCTCACGGAAAGCCTGTTTTGTTTCTTGCCTGGAATGACTGAAAGCAATCCAAGCTCTAGCACAGTTTCAACAGTCTGTTTGCAAAAGCAGACGGTCATCATTACTAAATGATGGTGCTGAAAGAGCTAAAGCTTAATACAATCACCAAGATCATCAGCAGTGTGATAGCAATGTAATGCAGTGCATCATGTTTCTTCCTGAGTAACTCAGCCCAGCTGAGGGCCTGAAGCTGCATCTTGGCTGGGGCAGTGCTGGGCAAAGCCAGTCCCCAAGGGAGTGGGGCAGGGAGGGCACGCTCAAAGGCCTTCTGCAAGGGATCCCCATTCACAACTTGGATGGTGTAAACTCTGGGTCACCTGAAAAGAGGTGTCTGTGGAAACAGAACTGTAGGTGTCAGACTTCTTGCATCTGCTTTAGCCCATGACCCTGTTAGTTAGCTTTAGGATGAAGCCAGCGTGCTGGTCTGTTGAAAGAAGTGAGTGGTAAATCTAACCATTGCTGAATTATAGAAGAGGAACACGTACATTTTCACAGCAAGGCATAATGATACAACACTTTTAATAATTTCCTCTGAATGACCATTTCAGTGTTTTAGCACAGTATTCAACTACCATTATGTGTGTGCAATAGACTCTCATAATTGCGAATCATAGTGTTTGCATCTTTTTTGTCTCAGTAGAGGAACTACTCCTGCAGCCCTTCAGCAAGCATACAGGCATCTGGTATTGCATAACCATTTCAAGGATTGAGCTATATAAATACTTTTACCAGAAATGGTGGATAATCTTTCACGGATTTCAAAACTGCAGATGTGGGCAGTTTATATCAAATGCATATAGAATCAATATTCATATATTTTTCAGAAAAAATATGTTGTGCATTTCCTAATTTTAAAACTAAGCATTTCGGACAAGGGAAGGTTTGAGGTAGAAAAGTGCTGGCTGTAGAACTATATGTTTTAGCATTTCCTAAATTTCCATTCAGATTTTTATGACCATTTGATTTCAAGCCAGGCACCAAGCTTTTCCTATTAGAAAAGTTAAAGTTTCCTTTTATAGAAGGGGGGGAGGTGTCAGGGGGGAATAATGGGAGCATCTACTGGAATTTGCAATTTTCTAATACAACATACAATTTAAGATCCTATATAGTAATTTTTGATGCATGTCACTTTAATTAGTATTCCACATAATAATTATTTCTTACAGGTCAATATTAAGAATTTGTCATGCATTTTCTAGATGAAAAAAATGGCATATGTTGGTGTGATTGTTTAGAGCTTACATTTAACTGTGTGATTTCTAGCTTTGTGTCAAAGCTGGTGCACTTAGAATTTGTATGAATCGTTTTCTCCATGAAATAATTGCCAGAAAATGCATCTGTGCCTTGGTGAAAATAGATATATTTTATTTTTTATTTCAACTTTGGAAACTCTAGCATTCAGGAAAAACAAATGAGTTAAGTAAGAAATTTTGTCATGCTGACAGTAGGGAGAGAAGGAAACGTCTTCTGATGTAGCACATTTTGTATTTGGACTTCTCATTTGAAAAAGCTATTTATTGATTGCTTGATTTATTTTTATTAGTTTTTTATTAGTTTTCCATTTATTATAGTCTGTCTATAATTATGTAAAAGCAACCAAAAATTATGTATATTGTTTAAAAAAAGCACTGTATTCACATCTGTTTGATTACTTGGTAGAGTGCTATAGATTTATCTTTTCAAATATATATTTGCAAAATCACTGTGGATTTACTTTGTAGAAACACCGGAATTCAGGTGTACATAGGTACCCCTGAGAGTTCTTCTACTGTGGATAACTCTTTTGAGGTCCATTACTCTTTTCTTTTTGTCTTTTTTATAATTTTCCTTTGCAGAGCTTGGTTCCTGTGTGTTACTGAATCCATAATAAGCACATGCTGTTGAATTTCTTTTGTGCAGGAGGTCGTAACGAAGTTGTCATCACTGAAAATAACAACAGTATAACTGAGCAAATCACTGATGTTGTCAAACAGCCTGCCTTTATAGCTGGCATTGGTGGGGCATGTTGGGTAATTCTGATGGGTTTCAGCATCTGGCTGTACTGGCGCAGAAAGAAGAGGAAGGGGCTCAGCAATTATGCTGGTAAGAACTCTGTCTTTATTACCATCTCATCAGGTTCTATCATGAACAGAACAGCGTCTGTTAAACCTACTTAAAGAACATGTTGAACTTGCAGAAAAAGTGTCCTGGGTGAATTTTGTATGCTTGTTTTCAATGTATGCTGTGAAATTGCTGGTGTTTGAGAAGCTTCAAATGCATTGCTCAGTACTACATTTCATCATTATCATAAGACGGTACTTTTACATCTCCAGCAGATCTAGCCTAAAAAAAGTACAGAGAGGATTAACTGCACCTCTTGTTCCTTGCTCAGAAGGCACTCTGTTAGTGGTTCAGCTCCATTTATATGTTCAAATATGAATTAGACTAGACCCTTACAAGGAAGGTTAGAGAGTATTTGGTCTTCTCTTTCTCCATTCCTATGTATTTCTATGTCTCTGAAACCATAAATACAGATATTTAATCAGTGACTTGATACCTACAGCTGGAAGAGAAGAGTGATGTATTGGACAGAGAAGTGTGTGTCAAAATTTACCTATGGCAGAAGCCATAAAAAGTTTTGTCTTGGAATTTCCTCTTGCACCAAATGTTTGCTCCAGTTAAAAATTAGTTATTGAAAACTACATTTGGAAAAATACTTATACTTGCCAAATGAAAATATTTTCATCTTTTCCCAACCTGTTTGTTTGGTCTATTATTCTGTGCTTCAGGATTCTTATGAATTTTTAGGAAGTCAGGTGAACTGCCATAAAATGGTTCACTCTGAATTCTAATTTAACACACAAAACCCCCTGTTCTTCAAATATTGGGGCAGGTTCTCTTATAGTGCTTATTAAGATGTAAAAAGAGAAAACATTTTCTTTTTGAATAAGATCTGCCCAGTTGAGGACACAGCTTCTTTAATATTGACACTGTATCAACCTGAAGTTACACTGGTGCTCTTCTATTTACAAGCTGTCACATGTGACCCCAAGGACGCAGGTTCTGTAAGTGGCTGAGCATCTGTAATGACTTGTCCAAAACCCACATTCATACATAGCCAAACTGTCCTTCTCAGCTTAGTGTTAGCCATCATCAGACTCCTCAGTGTCCTGACTGGGCTCCCCAAACCAGAAGGAAACTTCCATGTCAGTTTTCAATCCCTCCTGCTGGATTTGTTTTCCACGGGCTTAGTGTAACAAGCCCAAGAAGACATCAGACAAGCAGTAGAAGCAGAGGGAGGAGAGGCCATTTCAGTGGCTTTTGGATCTTGCTTTTTGTGGAACCTCACCTTGTGTCACCATGTGACATCCATCATTCATGGGTTATGCTTTGTGCTGAGGATTTTTTTTTTCTTTCCTTTAAGAGCAGTGACTTTTACTTTCTGAGAGGTGGGGTGGTGTTGACTGAGAAACTAATACATATCTCACACACCTATACATGTGTTTATATGAAATATCGTTCTAGATCTCATGATTTTACATACTAAGAGACAGCTATTCTGTTACTCCTCTTAGGAAATAGTCCTATATAAAGTTTTGGACACATTAAGACTAGTATTTCCCTAAAAACCAAAATTATTAGCCCTGTGTGTGAGTTGGCATATTGGAGCAGGGTGGGGAAGAATTGAGAGTAAAGTCTCCTATACCTTAAAATGCATAGCTATAAAATAATTATAATAGTCGTAATGCACAGTGTGTCTCCTGCAACTCATTCCTTCTCATGATGTTTGCTGCATCTAAGAGTGATGTGAACTTTGCATCATGAAATTGTGTATGCTTTCAGCAAGGAAAGTAGATAACAGATCATGCTTCAGAATTCATCTTAATATTTACAATTTGGAGAACAGCATGTCCACATAGAGAGTCTTCAAATGTGACTGTCAAAATTCACTGCTCATCTTTCCAACCATCATTTCTCATTGGCTGCTTGCTGGTTAGTGCTTTAAGCTCAGCTGTTATATCCTGCTTATGATATCCAACCACGACTGAGTAAATTCCAGAGGAAACTCGTGCCCTGCAATTAGCACTTTTTCTCAGGGTGTGTAACTCACAATGTGTTTGCTTTCTTGTTTTGCAGTTCAGTCCTTCACCTTCACCCCTGCAGGTACTGTCCATTAGTCTGTCTCTTACCTCACCAACACATCATTGCAAACAGTAGCTATCTAAGTGTTTATGAGCATGTGAGATATGCAGTCAAAACCAAATAAAAAGAGAAATACTTAGGCCACCTCTCCATGAAAAAAAATGTAGCATTCATTCTCCTAGTGATTCCAGGGGAATATAAAATCTACCACCATTAATGTCTCTCATTATAATTCTGCATACTTACTCATTCTAACTCCTTACACTAATGCAGTTTTGAAAGTAATTTTCAAGACAAGATGCTTGAACTAACTTAACATAAACAAGCACTAGTCATATATAACTGAATTTTTATTTTAAAGCTCAAGAAAGTTATTGAGAACATTTTTGCAGATCTAACTGGAGAAATGGAACTTTCTTTCACTTTAGCACTTTCTTACATATGTATTTGCCTTACTGTGATGTGTTCAGATCTTCAAGCAATCTAGTAATTAACTGATGCACTTGTTGCCTCTACAGGGTTTTTGAAATGGAAGCATTTGCTTTTTTTTTCTGACTACCCAGGTCAAAGCCCTATTTTTCAAAGGTAGCATAGAGTAGACTGTTATCATAAGCATGATTAAAGATATGTGAAGAGTAAACAAAGTGTGGCTAAAACAGCAGGTTGCAAACAGCTTGGTCAGCATATCCAGAACAAATAGAGTATACAATTAATAGTAATAATTAATACTAGTAATCAGCTTCTGCTCTCCTACTTAATCTAAAGATTTAAAAACTCAAAAATAATTGTACCTCAGAAATCTCAGAATTTCCCAGCAGGTCTGTAAAGTTTTTGCATGTAGTTTGGCCCCTCAGATGCATTTACCAAAGCTGTCTTCTCTTCTGTCCCTTCTGCCATCCATGTAATAGAGTCCAGTCTTCCTACCACACTGCTGAACTAGTCCTCATGTTCAGCTAGCTGCTTTCTTGCTCTTGCTTGTCTTGCCCAGGAGCTTGTAATGTTGTGAGGGAGAGGTGTCCTTGTGGAGAAGCTCTGGGGGCTCAGGAATTGCTCCTCTAGCTTCCAGGCAGGTTGGGTCAAATCAGTGTAAGTTGTGGCACAACACATCCTACCCTAAGCACTATACTGACCTTTCTTTGAGAGACAACATGGGATTTTTTCCAAATTTAAATAATACATCTTTGCATTTGGTTCCTATGACTGTACCACTGTCAGTTGTCTTTAACTGTGGTGAGTTTTTTCCACTGTGTTTGTAGCATACATTGGCATGACACCGGGCTGTGCTGGAGCCACAGTGACTGTGCATGATTTAGTGCTGTTGATCCACATGTGCTGGGTAACTGGTATGTCAGAAGCACTGCTAAACATTCCTTTTTTAAAGAGTAATTTGGACATCTTGTGGACTTTATAGAACCAAGACGCCACATAGTTCTATTTCCTGGCCTATAATAATTTCTGGAGGCACTGAGAACCTAAGTCATCCAGTAGTCAAGTTCAAGAAAACAATAATTAATTATTTTTTTCAAGTTTCCTTTATGACTGAACACAGTCCATGTTTCTTATCTTTATTGTCAGAATTCCATAAGAAACATCATTAGTTCTCTAGTATTTGAATTTGCCATTGGTAGTATCATTCAAATAAACATACCTATGCTTGTGGAGGTTTGTCACTCACAGCTGTATATTGTTCCCTTCAAAGTTGTGATTCATAAACAGTTTGATTCTAGATCTAATTGTTTAAACAGTGGTATGCAGCTTTCAGAATCTCTTCAGAGGCAGCTGTCAATGAAGTTTTACTAAAGATGTATTTATCCTAATATACTCAGATTTTAGAAGGTGCACACTTGTTGTTCAGATATCTGCTTTAAATTCTTCCTTCAGAGAGTTGCAGAACATGCAGATTTGACTATGTGATAAAGAGAATTCAATCTAAAAGTGGAACATTCATATGCTTACTCTATTTCACACACAAAGCAAAAAACTATTCTTTCAGTTATTTCTGATGTGAATATTTTTTGTTTTGTTTTTCTTGAGATGTATTTGCCTATGTGTAGAGCACTGTGTTTTAGAGCACTAAAAATAGTTGTTTAAAAGTCTGGATCCTGCAGTTTTATAATTACTTGCTAAAATGTTCTTTGGGGCAATTTTCAGATTATGGTTCATTGACTGGGGGTATTTGTTATTTGTATTCTGTTATTAGGCTCTTAAAATGTATAATTTCTGCTGTGTGACTAAGCTGCTGTAACAGGAGAAGAGCAAACAGCAAATGTCACACAATTGGTAACAATTTATGTCAGAGAAGAATATCAGATTGAGTTAAATTCATTAAGCTTTCTGTCTTCCTGAACATTTTCATAAGCACTGATCGATTGATTGCTCAGATGGTCACAAATGAAGTGACATTGAAAATCATAGCTGAGTCTTTTTAGTTATTTTCAGTTGAACTGACTCCAGTAGTTACTGAGCCACAGTTCTGTGCATCACTATTCTTCCACTTGCCTTTTGCCCAGCATGACTCACCAAGCATTGATTCTCAGTAATATCAGTACTACAAAACATACGATTAGTTAATATGTTTGTTAGATTACTACTGGTAAGTAGGTAGTGTAATCATCTGCAGCTGTACAAGTACTATACATTTTTGTGACCATGACAGAGGCTATCAGCAAAGTCAAACCTGGCTCAGAGGCACTAAATATAGGAGCCTTTTGACTCAATTCTTTTGTGAGTTTCTGTGTAAGCTAAAGTACCATTGCACTGGAGTTTCAAACCTGGCTCAGAGGCACTAAATATAAGAGCCTTTTGGCTCAATTCTTTTGTGAGTTTCTGTGAAAGCTAAAGTACCATTGCACTGGAGTTCTGGGGAATTTTTATGGTTACCCTAAAGTCAGATTACCCGGATATAAACACACATTCTGGGCTTCCATAGGACACAAAAAATAGGTGTCACAAAAGAGATATCTGACCACTCCTTGTGTAGCAGATGCCTTATTTCACTGCTGTATTACAATGACAGAATTTGTTAATTTTATACTTGCAATTCTCTTTTTGCATTTCTGTATACAAAGACGTGGAAATTTTGTTTATCTGCTTATCTTTCCTGTGCCCTCCAAATTGTTATTCCAGTACCAACTCACTTGAATACTCAGGTATTTTCAAGTGTCTAGGCAACCAGTCATGCAAAGAAAGTAAATATGTATTTTTACTTATGAGTAGGTAAGCATATTTAGTGACTAGTGCTCCTTGGGATTAAAGATATCACGACACTGAGTAAATAAAAAAACCAAATTAAAATGCATAGAGAATCATGGAATGCTACACATTTTATGTGCACTCCTGAAACTGTTACATGAGGATAAACTGTATGACAGAATCATCCAAAGGTAGACAGAAGATTTGATGGAATTTTTATGTGCTGATTATCTGTTCTGAGTTAATGCTTATTAAAAGAGGATTAATCTACATTCATATTTGAGGAACAGCTTATCAGAAAAAGGAATGAGACTTGGCTGGCAACATTAAAGTTTTCATTTGCAGTAAGAAAATGTGGCCTACTAGAGATAGGCATACAGAAAGCTTTCTAAAGCTTTCTGAAGCTTTCTTGCCTCAGAATGTCGACTTACTATACGTTCATATTTTTCCAGTTCTAGCAGGCATGAAGATTAAGTTTAACCTTGTCAGATAATAGTAGTAAATGGTTTGGGCATCTCCTTATATATTAATAAAAAGCATGTGAAAAGCTCCTTAACATATGCTGGTTTTCATACAAATATATACAATATAATTTCCTTAAATATTTATGCATTTAAAATGCACTTTGGATTATATTTCTGCATTTTTACAGTCCTAGAAGTATAAGCTGATTGGGATTCCTTCAAATTCTATCTATGCAGAGGTTATTTTTTCATCTTCTTTTGAAAACCAATCTCATCCCTGCAGGTCTTCAGCCTTTCTAAGAACATATATCAGATGCAAAGACTGCTGAAAGAGCTTTTTTGCTTCCTTGATGATAAAAAGCAAGGGAGATGGGTGGGTCAGTGATTGGGACATCCTTCTCTTCCTCCTCTGATATTGCCCCTTGAAATTGCTCTGCTACTTTTTGATGTGGAGGCAGGATGAATAAAGCCAGCTGTCTGTGTGTTTTATTTTTACAGTGACATCTACAAGCCTGCATTACATTAAGTGTGCTCCTATTCAGGCGTTTAGACTTGTTTTGTAATTGCAGAAATCAAACTGCAGGCAAAAATGCTGACAAAATGTATGGCAGGAATGATAAACATAGTGCTTGTGCTGGCAGCCTGACCATATCGTCTGTTGTTAGCTGTCTTGCCTTTCACAACATTGATGCTAAAAGAAAGGCACCTTCTCTATCCAGCCTCAGGTAACCCATTTATGGATGGCATCAGGAATATGATTTCTTTCCTGTGGCATCCTGGTGATATGTCCACAGTTCAAGAGGAATTTTGGCAAGCTTAGTTGATACTCCAGAGCCTTTTCCACCAAACATATTACATAAGTAGAATGCTTCCTTGTTTATTTTCTCATTAAGATAATAACCATGCGTACATTGGTAGACAGGGTGAAGGGCAAATGAAAGAACCTGTATTCTTTCCCAGTTCCATATGCATCATGTAAGCCAGGCACAGTCTTCCCCAGGAAAAACAAGGTCATTGCAAAGGAAGATCTTTCTTTAATAAACTGAGCTGGACCTTTCTTCTGAAAACAGTGCTTATATAGGGAAGATGGAAGATTATTTAATGTAGGAAAAAAAACCCCAGGAAACAGTTCATACCACCAGGATACACAGATAGAAGAAAAAGCAGCAAATGCTGTGATACTTGTCTCCTCAATAATCTTATATGTCACAGCCAACCTGCAGCAATTACAGATCTAGTGAAGAGGTTTCAATGTCATGTCTTCCTTATATGTTTCTCACAGCATGCCTTGGAGATTTTCCATACCTGACTACTCAGAAAATAAAATCTGTTAGGCAGACATTCATGCAATCTCCTACTAGTTCCTCCATTTTAGCTTTGCTTTGTAAATGTATATAAGGAATATAAATATTTTGAAGGTCACAAATATTATTGGGGTTTTTCCTCCATATAGCATGCAGAGTTAAAATTTCACACACCTGTGCTATGCAAGTGGTGACAAAATGACTTCAAAATTATTTCTGGTAGGTGATAGTCTAAGCAAGAGCATTAATCCCAAGCAGTTTTCAGAAAGTATGTTTTACTGGAATCCCCTTAAATCTGTAAACTTTATTTATAAGGGCTGTTGACAAATGAGGCTTTGTTTCTCATTTTTCTTATTTCTTGTCACTTTGACAAATGCAAAAAGTTGGAGAAATCAAGTATTACATTTGAAAGGGAGAAGGAGGAAGGAAACAGCATTTAATGTACTTTTTGACCAACATACTTGAAAGCATAGCCAGGCACATCTTTGCATATTCACATGTGATATGCACAGCACTTGAAATTATTCCCTTCTAAGCAACGAGTGATACAGTCATTTGACAGCCTGTTAGAAACAATGTGAATGAAAGCAATGTTGACTCTAAAATTAATTACCTGCAACGTTTTACCATGTCTTGTTTTTCAAAGGAGACTTTTATACAATACTTTCCATACTTGCATTTTGTTTTTCTTTTCATTAATTGGTTTGATTACATCCTTTCAAAATTCAGCTATTAACCATTTTGATGTGACATATGACTGTAGTGATTTTCTGATACTGGTATTAGTCTGCTCTGTGGTGAAGGGTAATTAATCACCCTACCCAAGCACTCTCTCCAGAGGGGCCAGTTTTGTCCCCTTTGCTGAATGTAGACTGTGAAATTATCCCAGGAGTTTATAAAGTGGCAAGGATTCTATAAGGTATCAGAAGTATTTTCCCAGTGAATTTGTCATTGCTAATTTTTTTAATTATCACAGAATTTCTATTGGGTGTAGTAATTTTGTCTGATTAGAAAAATGTATCATAGAAAGCCTATTCCTGAATTAATGTGGTTTGGACCAATATTTGGAAAATCTTGCAAATACTCTGTGAACTATGATTAATGATGGAAATGTCTGTCTTACAATGGTAAATAATATTTCCTATTTGAAAGTAAACTGGCCACAGTTTCTTCCATTCCTGTCTTAAATTCAAAGCCTCATCTTGTCAGGGGTCTGTAAGAATGCAGGTGTCCAGGACATTGATATAATTTAATCATCTGCCTTATCTATGCCTAACAATAAATAATGGGATATTGCCACTGAGAACCAGAGTAATCTGTTGGCCTTGATTCAAAATATTTGCCAGTGCTTCAAAAAGGAGCATCAAATACTGTCAATTAGCATCTTGTCAGTAATGTGGGTTTACCTATATTGCCCTGAAATGTAATCCTGTTAATAAAATAGATAAGGGAGAGACTGGCTTTTGTCAAACACCCATGAATGGAGCCATAAAAACAATTGTCTCCCTCTGATTATGTCCTTGGCATTCCCCATGGATGGAAGACTGGAAACACTTTTTCTTCCCAGTGACATGTATGCATTTATGTGTGGGTGTTAGTTCTTAAACTGTACTTTTAATGGAAATGGTGCAGCTGTATGGGTTTTTTCCATTTCTTCAGCTGTAATAGAGCTGCCACCTCTTTGTGTTTGTCCTGGGAAATGGTATATTGGTGTGGTGACATTATATTACTGCATTACAACATGATGTTATTAACTCACTGGAGCACTGTCATTATGTACTGAAGCAAAAGCATGCCAAGAAAACAATTTCATCACATGGCTCAGTCTTGCAATGCAAAGTCATATGAAGGGGCCTGTGGTAAATTCAGGCCTTTTGCCCAGGTGGCTGGTTTGCTTTGCAAGCAAGTTGGTGTCAATCAGTACACGTGTAACCCTGACGTGCTTGATCCTATTCTTATCATTTCTGTACTTTATTATGTGATGATGCCAAGAGGCCTCCGATGTCAGACACTGAGCAGTTTGAATTGTTACTTTTTATTATTACTAATTGATTTTCCCCTGTCTTATATGTGTGTGCATGTGTGTACGTATGTTTGTTTGTTTTGTTTTTGTTCCAACCAAAACACAGTCACTTTCCAAAGAGGAGATGGAGGACTAATGAGCAATGGAAGGTATGTTTCTATGTATAAAGGTCTTTCCATTGTATTTATTTTCAAAATTAGGGATCTGAAAAATGCTGTCCATGATGCACTTGGGTCATAACGGATCACTGGGGAGACTGACAATACTAGGAGGAGTTAAATAGTTTACCACAAGGTTTAATGACCCATATGCTGTGCACTTTGGAGGAATCAAGCCCAGATGTTTCATATCTCCCAGATGCCCTGGAAGAAATGAGTAGTAAATATCAGAAAGAATGTGTTCATTTGTTACCAGGATGTTTATTGCATTAATTAGACATTAGCAAATGAAGTTGCTGTTGTTTAAGACTCCTTATTGGCTCCTCCTAAATTGCTGTGAGTGAACAATTACACTTAATTGATCACGAAATAAATGATTCATGGATGATGAATAGGCTGTAGATTGATAGGACTGGATTCCACAACTTTGGTTACTCAATTGAAATTGATAAAAGCTGATAACGGGCCCATATATCCTCATCTATTTTCCCTTTGCCAATATGGAGATTGTAATTAGGTTCTGGTAATAACTTCCAATCTCCTGTTTAATCAATATTTTAGCAAAAAGAGATTAGGCCTAATGAGAGCAAGTAGATGTGGCAAGAATGCGTCTGGGTCTTCTTATTGCTGTTTCCATAGAAACCAATGTTTCTCTTAGGGAGTGTACCAGGCAGGGGTCTATAATGCACAGTGATCAGAGATGTTGCTTCAACTTCATGAGCGCTTTAACAACCCAGAAAAGCTGCAGAACTGTGGATGGCTTTTGGTTTTCATTTGGAGGAAGGGAGTGTCTGCAGGAAAGGATTTGTTTTCCCTGTTAAATAGAAATACAAACAATCCACCTGCCTTGCTTAATTTCTGGCTGTTTATCCCAGGGTGAGGGAGACATGGTGTCTTATGGCACATGTGTACCTTCTCTTTCACCATGCTCGCTGTTTAATGCTGTTCTCAAAGCTGGGAATTACAAGGATATAAAATCCATGCAGTAGTGACAAATAAAGATAGCTGTGGACTTGCCATTAATCCTACTCAAACCTGTTTGCCTCTAAACCATCCAAGAGTGCTCAAAGGAAGAGTTACCAGCCTGTAGATGACAGGCATGCATTTGGGATGCAAAAGAAGCAAGAAATAGTAGCCCAAAGTCCTGGAAATGGCTGATATGCAGCAATCAGTTTGAGTGATGGCTCCCTTGAGGTGGTAATTTATCATGCAGCCCCAGTGTAGGAACCCGTGATGGTGCTGCCTAACTCCTGTTTCACACAGACAACGGAGTTCATTGGGATTCTGGCAGAGTCACGACGGATGCCTAATCCCATTTCTACTGACAAAGTTGATTTGTATATAACCTTAATTAACTGTTCAAGGTCTTTAAATCATCAAAGGCTACACAATTTTTATTTGAAATAAATTAAAGTCTCCTAAACTGTTTGCTACCTGTGGTATTAGGAGAACAATGACATGGCCTCTTCGATCACTAGTTGTCTCACAGATATTGTATTTTAAGCATATACATATATATATATTTGTATGCATATCTCTTTTTCTTATTCTGCTTCAGTCGACCAGGTCTGTTGAATGCAAGTGACCCCAGTTATCCTTGGCTTGCAGACTCTTGGCCTGCCACAAGTCTGCCAGTAAACAACAGCGCTAGTGGACCCAATGATCTTGGAAATTTTAGTCGTGGAGGTAATTTTCCTTTTATTAAGTCACTGTATAGTATACAATAGACTTCCATTAGCTAACATCTATGATAAATGCTGTGTAATATTTTTATCATTATAGTTCTTTCTGTTTGTGATTCCAGATTGTATTGAAAATTTACTTTGAAATGCTCATTTTGCTTTGTCTCTTTTTGCTTCTTTATAATGTAGGTCTAGTTAGTAATTTACCCCACACTGGTGAGACAAGGGCTGCTTGTGCTCTCAGGAGAAATGTATTTGTTGCTCAACCTCATTCCCTTTTGTGTGGACATGAGCAATCTGCTGTGCAGAGCAATAGAGCCAGGGATAGAGGATGTCCATAAAAGCAGAGGAGAACTCAGGGGATGCAGGAAGGGTGTTCCTTCAACAGAAGGACAGAACATTGTTGGTGTTACCTTATCCAGCCCCTTCCTTCTGAGAGACTGCTCTCAGTCTCAGTCATAATCCATGAAGAAGCCCTTAAAGTTCTTCAGCAAATTTCCTCTTATTGGAGGAAAGAATACATAAAAGTATTTAGATTTAAGAATATACATAAAAGTATTTAGAATTTTTAGGGATTTGTTTCCAGTTTGAGTTGAGGGAGCACCTTTGGGAAGATGAGGTGACAATATATTATAATGATGGTGAATAATAAATAACCCCTTTAGAGAATAATAAATAAAATAACCCCTTTAGAGGGGTTATTTTATTTCAAACATTTTACTCAAATGGGAAATTCAAGATGTATGACTGGGATTTGTAAAAGTCATTGTAATATTCACACCTCTGTTACTTCCTTGGTTTCTGTGATAACACAGCTGGTTCTGCATAGTGGTGTTCAGAACAAGACTTCATAGTGCAAATGAATATATAACTATTTTAAGACATAAATAGGTAAACAAAAATCAAGACAACTTTATTTATCAAAAATGCATTAAAATGCAGAACAAATCTATAAAACCATCAAACTGCAAAATGTGTAAATAATTCAGTTTTGAACTACTTCTGAAAATCATCGCTCATATCGATTATACATTCCCATGCAAAACTTCTTGCCTGTGGTTTGATTACTGTGACTCAAATTACAACAAAACACTCTAGATTGATATTCCATATAAAAATGTTGTAAGGCTGTTGTCATACAAAAATATTTTAAAGTAAGCAAAACCTTTGGTAATATTTAGAAGGCAACTGAATATCTGCCAGCTTCTTTGTTGTGAATATCTTGAAAATAAAACCCTCCAGTACTTTTCCATCTTTTCATAAACTCACATAACACAGAAAAATTACCATTTTCTTTTAGCATTTGGCTCTATAGACTGAAATTGGAAGCATGTTTTAAAGTTTTTGGCCTCAATGTGAATAAGGCATAGGTCCAAATTTGTGCAAGAGATACAACAGTTATATTTTTAAATTCAGCAGCTTAATTCCACCCATGGTCTTTACAGTTGAGCTCACACTTTTATTCCGGCTGTTTCGCGACCTCTTATCCCAATCTGTTTCAGCTGTTGAGATTGGGTGCTTCTGCATTAGACATGGATTAGAAATCAGATGTCTTTTAATGGGTACAGATAGAATATTAACTGTATAGAGAGACCTTGGCCCTGTTTTACTGGTTAAAAGGTTTGTGATGATATAAAAGATCTGTAAGAATTCTAAAAACAGTAAGAAGGCAATTATCACCCTAGACACCCAGAAGCTGAGGCAGGCAGTTCTAACATTGCCTTTAAGAGTGAGATCCACATTATGTCCTAGATAGGCATTTGAGAGGAAGGCTGTAAGTGGGAAGCACAGGTTAGGTTTCAGTCATGTAAAGGCACAAAATGATACTGCTTCTCCTGAGGCAGCAAGAAAGAGCTTCCCTCCAGAAGTATTTCCGTGCTGTTTCATTTATACTGAGAGTTACAAAACAAGTTGGATTTTGGAGAGTTTTAGGGAAAGCATGTAGTGGAAAATGAGTGTTCATCTTTGGTCAGAAATGTACAGTGTGGTTTTTTTGCTATGACAGCTTGGTGGGAACATCACACTTGACTTTTACTAAGTGATTATGGCACTTTGTAAAATGGCAATTTAATAGCTCTTCAAGTGCTTAATGTATACATCACATTGAGGTCAAATAAGTAATCCGTGGTTGTACTGAAAATTCCCAGTATGTCTGGAAAAGCTCAGCTTATAAGTAAGAATGACTGAAAATTCTTGGCTGGTGGGAAGCTATGCAACTTTCCTTTAATGTGTGTGTAAATGTATAGTTCTCCATTTTAAAATGGCTGCATAGAGATCATATATCTTCAGTTGCCAGAAATGTAGTCTAAAAGAAGGACATATGTCTGAGTACTTGAGAGATGACCATTTTGCTAGGTTTTGCTTCCCTGAGTCTTCTAAACCAACAGACAGGCTGAGCTGGATTTGCTTCACTTTATGCAACAAATCCAGAATTTTACTACTCTTTGATAGAACCAGTTGTGGAAAGGAAAAATCTTCATATTGTGGGTGAAATGCAAGATAGGATTGTACTTGTCTCTCACATCTCATCCTGTATTTGCAGATAGATGCTTTTCTGTTTGTGTACTGCCTCTAGAAAGCACGTTGCATGTGTACAGATAGATAGTAATAACCTGATTTTAATTTATAAGCTGTAGTTTGCATTAGTTGTAATTTTTTTGTACTTACAATTTATCTGCAGATATACATTAATACGATTAAGATCTTTTAAGTACTTGATTGTGCCCATTTTCCTGTTGATGTCTGCAAAACCAGATCAGGGTGATAGACCCAAATTTAATCTCTGTTTCTGCAGTCTTTCTGCTGAGCAGTTGTTAGTGCCATATTTATTGTTAATATTATGTTTTGCCCTGAGACTGCCCATGTTACTAGGGATCCATATTAAAATGTTCACTGTTACACACATAAATGTCATAGAAAATAGTTCGGTGGTCTAAATGTTCATCTCAGGGAAAAAAACCAAATCAAACCAACAACAACAAAAAAACCCAAAACCCTGACAAACCAGTGGGAGGAGACCATGGTGTGACATCTCATTGCTGGATTAGTCTTTGAGACACTGAGAGGATAACCCTATTCCCTGAGGTTGCACAGAACCCATGTCTGGGTCTAGAACGAAGTCTGAAACCTTGTCTGGGTGCAAGAGTCATCTTTTCTTTCTGGTGCTTAAGGTGTATAAAAATGGCTGTGATCCCTATAATGAGATCTGAACATCCTCACTATAGGAGTATGCATTATCTCAAGTATGATGTAACAGTTGGAATCTATATCTGCCATATGGCTGTAGAAAGAAAATGACATATAAATGATTCAATTTTTTTTTTAACAAGTACATTCCGGAATCGATTCAACTTTTCAAAGTCTAAATAAATTGTGAAAATAGTACCATTTGATATATTGACCTCTGAGAGAGCCCAGAGAGGGTTGTCTGTTGAGCTGTGGTTCTCCTTGGGACATCATGCCAGTCATCATTAGATTCTTCACACTTCAGTAATCTCAGTTTCTAAATCTGGTATTCCACCAGCAAAGGTCACTACAGTGTTTAGTAAGAAGAGAGATTGCCAGTCTTACTGATTAAAGATACAAATTGCAGTGTGTGACAGGTTTCAAAAGATGTAGAAAAGTCAACAGATATTTAGTTAAATATGCTGTATTGTTTTCCAGGTAAGTGTACTGGAGTACTTGAACAAGTTGTTTTCCATTATCAACACTGCCTTGCCATTTTGAGGCTCTGATCACTTATATCCTCTCAGAATAACAGATTTTCTTTCACATATCAGGAACAAGTTGATTTTGTCAGGGTTTTCTTTTGTGGAAAAGGAGAAATGTACTAGCTAATGTCAAAAATAAAATTAGATAAGCTGGAGCACAAAACTTCAAGGAAATCAAGGTGATGCCCTTAAAAAATTACTTTGAGAGCCTTGGCATCCATAAAAGAGTTTTGCTGCATTTTTGCAAGGAAAGTTCCCTCTGTGATTTGTAAATTCTCTCCTTTCATCATTTCCCTGAAGCCCAGACAGTTTCATTGGTTCTGACATAGAGCGAACAATTGAAAACATTCTTCAGTATAGAAATATTTCAAACTTCACTTTCACAGTTGAAGGTATGGGAAAAAAAAAGAAGATGGTTTTAGGCAGTGAGACGTGAAGGACAAGTGGTAAGCCTGTCACAGATGCTGATAGCTTGGCGTTGGTTGTACATCATCTTCCCTTCGTTGGCTCATGAACCTGTCTCAGCTAAAATGCAAACGTGCAAAATGACACATTTATTTCTCATCTTAAACCTTGATACTTTCAGGCTTCCTGTGCATCAATGATTTTTTTTGTTCCCCTATGTTCACCACAGATGTGCTGCCACCAGTGCCAGGGCAAGGAGATAAAACTGCTACAATGCTTTCGGATGGAGCCATTTACAGCAGCATTGACTTCACCACAAAAACTAGTTACAACAGTTCCAACCAAATAACGCAAGCTACGCCATATGCCACCACCCAGATACTGCATTCCAACAGCATCCATGAGTTGGCTGTTGATTTACCTGATCCTCAGTGGAAAAGCTCAATTCAGCAAAAAAACGACCTGATGGGATTCGGGTACTCTCTCCCAGATCAAGGCAAAGGCAACAATGGTAATTACAGCTCTTATTTTCCAGAGTCCTTGGCTTTATACTGTATCGTCTATGCATGAATTAGAAAATTCTTTTTTAGCTATGTGAGACACGATTCATATTTACCTTAACTAATGCTTACATACTTTGCATGTGTGCTGAACCTCACACTATCACAAAATACATTTTTCTGTGCTTTTAATCCTCTTTGTCCTGTGCTAATCACCAAGACATCTGCTTTCCATTAGGCTAGAGTAGGTGTACCTTTAAAAATAAATAAATTAAAACCTGCCACCCCACCACATCTGCCATTGACTTGCTAACTGCATGTGTCGCATGTGCTTGTGCTGTCAACTAATCCCATGATGCCACTGTGACCTTTGCTGTTTAACCCTTAGCCTTGCTTTACATCCCTGACTACCGGGTGGCTGAGGGACTGGCTAATAGATTGCCACACAACCAGTCACAGGATTTCAGCACCACCAGCTCCCACAACAGTTCTGAAAGGAGTGGCAGCCTCTCAGGTTGGTTCCACCGCCGTGGGTAGGGGAGTGAGGGAAGGAGGGGTGTTGGCAAGCAGCTCACCAGGGAGGTAGAAGACCTCCCAGGTGCATGTTGTGGAAGTGCCTGCCCACTGGAATGTCAGCAAACATGGTCACATGAGACCCTACTGAAAAGAAAGCCTTTTAAAAGCAAGACCTGTCTGGAGATAACTGGAGAAGCCTCCCAGGCGGTGCTTGTCGGTGCAATTGCCAGCCTTGCCTTGTAACATCCTTTCCCTGACAGCACAGTTCATGAAGCAGATGTATTTCTGCATCCATCCTCAGTTTATAGGTCTCCCCACACTGAACTTCATGAGGAGATTAATATTTTTGTTGAGTTGTTAACAGATCCTCCCACTCCCATGAGCTGTTTCTAAATGCTGTTCTTCAGTGAAGCAGCTCAGAAATAATTGTAGGGCCCTGAAAGATGGCTGGGGTTTCATCAAATTGTGCCAAGTCTGCATCCAAACAGGATGTAAATTTTATGTGTGTGCTGCATGTTCTATTGGAAACATGATGCATTTTCATCAGATGAAAATGACTGTAGTACATGTAGTTGTGTATTATATTTAAACACACCTTTGTCTTGATTTCTTTGATTTTGCTAATTTTTGCTTATGTATAACCATCTTTTTTTTCCAGACAAAACCTGAAAAAGCAGAAATTAAAATGAAAGTCTGCAATTTCATTTAACCAAAATATGACAGAGACAAAGGGACATAAATGTAATATTTATACTATATCCACAGCCTTTTGAATTTCCACTGTAAGCTGGAGCAATCGTAACAGTAACAGACCAAGCCTAGAAATGGCTTCTTTATGTCAATTTAAATGACTATTCAAATTTAATCTTGAGATTAGAAGCCTAAAATCATTGGCCCATAACTCAAATAGCCAAATGTGTTTGCAAGTCCTGTGTTCTCAAAGGGGAGTATTAGCTGATTTGAGTGAGACTGAAAAATAGGCTTATGGCATTGATAGTGAGTTATCTGGGAGCTAAGTTCATGCAATACCTCAAGAAAGGTTCTTGTTCCTTGTATGTGAGATGTATTAGAAAGTAGTTTAGGAAATCAGCTTGCTCCCCAGGCTGCATGAAAATGCAGAAATTGATATGCTGAAGTACATACTTGCCAGTTATCAGAGGGCAGTATCACACTTCAAATATGTTGACAGCTACAGCTGCCCAAGAATTTTCTCAGAAAATATGAAGTTTCATTGGAAAATACCAGTTGATCAAAAGCTGGACTTTGATCAGATATTTCAAGTGAAGTATATTCGGTGTCGTCGTTCTCAGTTTGGAGTAAATTTTCTGATGACACAAGGAAACTTCAGGTTATCCAGTTTTTCTATGACCAGGTAGTTCCTGTTGTGATGAAGGCAGCTCACACCTGGATGCCCCAGTTGAGGGGGTGTCATGTTATTGGACTGCAGAGTCAGTATTTTGCTCTCCCTTGCCCACTAATTATGTCTTTGATACAGGATAATTATGTCTGTAATACATGAGAAACTGAGGGAGACCTTCAAAATCATCTGATAATTAGGGCATCACTGGAGTCAGAGACCAGCTTTGATTACATAGTCCTCATGAGGGTGAGCAGGGACTTATTCTCACTTCCATGGTTAGTAGTTCAAGTACTACTTATTATTCTGACTTAGTTTCTGTCTCTCTTAAATGAATATCATGAGAAATCTTATCCCACTGTGGAATGGAAAACAGGTAGAAACTCAACTGCTTTATTAGGCAGGGAAATTTTGTAGCTGCACTTTGCACAGCTCCCAGCTTATGTCAGTGCTATGATCTTCAGCCCAACTAGCAAATTCTTTTTCCAGGCTCTGATTCATCTAGAGATTTAAACAATATAATTGAATTTCAGTGTGAGAACACAGAAAAATCAAGCATCATTGCTATGGGGAAACAAGGCTTTGGTGCAGCACTTTTCAAACACACATCAGGTAGTATGTGTTAGGTGTCTGTTCCATTAGTCTGACAGTGGAGTAACTCTGCCCATGGGGACAGAAATCTCCTGCC